GCCAAGTACCAAAGAGGAATTGCTGTGAGAGCAACAATGCTCATCAGCACCAAGAAGCTGAAGAGTGAAAATACAGCTGAAGAGCTCTATTTCTGAGTAGAGGGAAAACAATCTTTGAGTCTCTGCACAGAAGATTGTGTCATTATGAGGGATCTGTTATTACAGGACTTAATTTCTTATACTGTATCCCACAGCAAACTGAAGAGGCTCCTGCAGATAGAATCTCTTCCCAATTAGAAAGCTGCTCTGCCTTTGACACGCCTACATCAGCTGTCCTAGGGATTTATTACATGCAGGTTCCAAGTGGCCATATTTGGGAAGCCTCCATAGAAAAGCAGATATGCTGCCCTTGTCCCTCCAGCCATGAGTTGAGGTTTTTGCTCTGATGCCTCTGTGCGGATTCTGCTTTGGCAGTTTATGGTAAGTTCTCCCTGCTGACCCCAAATCCAATCCTTCAGGGCCTGTTTTTCTGCTTTTCCAGTAAGTTGACCTGAGAATATAAAAGCTACATGGGAGAAAGAGTATTTAATTAGATTGATTCCAGCCAGGGAAGCCAGGAGAGGGGCTGCCTGCTTGGCAAATCCAATTTGGTTTCACTAAATGAAGGAGTCAAGTTAACTCTGTAATCTCTGTTTAGTGTTGTTCCAGGAATGCCTCCTTCCCTTCCCATTTGCTTAGGTAAGTAATACCCAACAGAGGGTAGAGGAAAGTGCTGTGGAGGCTGTACAGCCCAGGCTTTATTTTGACAACATTAAATTCTAGCCAAAGACTAAAATAATGAAAGTCATGAACTGTAACTGAGACTGCAGTCCCTGGGTAGCAATGAGCAACATGTAGCTGGGGGAAAGATCAGCTTTTCTTTTGGGAAATCTCAACTCCCTTCTGATGTCCTGACCCCTCATTTCAGTGGAATCCTTGTGGGAAGAGGTTGTCTGCTTCCTTATAACACTCAAAGGATCCCATTGCTCGTCCAAAATGAAGAAAACAACAGAGGACTGAAGCCTCAATTTGCAGGGCTGGCTGGGAAGGCTGGAGAAGCTTAGCTTTGATGGGAATCTGTGGATGGAAATGTCTGTGGGACGGAAGTCTTTGTGTCACACCACGTCCATCAGTACCTGACCTGAACTGCCATTGTCCTGTTTGCACCCTGAATCCACACACTCTGCACCATGTGAGCCAGAAAGATGGATCCAGGATCTAGCCCAGCACGAGAATGTGGGATTTGCTGGGCAGAGGGAGGGAGTGAGATGGAAGGAGGGGCAAAAGAAGGCATCCTTGTTGGAAGGTGGGGAGGTCTACTGCTAATAAGCAACTTGTACCCATCTGAGAGTGGGTTGGAAAGAAGAGTCTGTTTCTTTTCTGCAGCAGACAGCTTCATCTCTGACTTGATTTCCAAGAAATTGTATGAATGGTAGGGGGCTTCCCTGACTGTATTATTTCCATTTTGACTTCCTTTCAGTTTGCCTCTCATTTTCCGTTGCTGAGATGCTCACAGACCCCTTGCTGGGCAGGAATGCATCATCCCCACCCTTGACAGCCCAAGCTGTGCACAGCAGCTCAGCCAGCATATGCACCTCCCGCTGCCCTGATACAAATCAGGGTCTGGGGAAAACGGGGTACACCAAGGATCTGGGCTGCAGCTTTCTGCAGGACCCATGCAGGTCCCAAACCACTTGTGAAACACCTGCTCAGTGAAGGATGAAATGCTGATGGCTGGTGTTGGCTTCCTCAGTGTCTCCAGTCAGTGCAAAGCTGAGGGAAGCTGAAGCCATTTGATGAAGAAAATTATTTCCATTTAACTGTGTCTGCATGTATTTGGAATTTTCTTCTGTAAAGGAGAGGAGCAAAGTCCAACCATAAATCCAAATATTTGGTTTGTTTTTTTTGTTCTCTAGTCTGTTCATGGGAGCCAAAATGTTTCATTTCACATCAATTCATTGAGTCTGGCCTAAAGAATGAGGCATTTGTCAGCTGCCCCTCATTTTTGTTTCCAGATCAGCAATCTGCACTTTTATCTATGTTTTTCCATTTACAGTTTGATTAAGCCTTTCTGCAAAGCTGGGGCTTTGGCCACAAGCTCCTTATTTTGCTCTTTACTTGGCAATAGTTGCCATTTATTAATTATCGATATCAGTTAAATAAAGCAGCATTGCTGGTGTCCTCAGCTGGAGGGTTCCTTGACCCACAGCAGGACCAGGCAATGCTTGTGCAAATGCTTCCAGCCTCAAGGGACCTACTGAAGCACATTCTTTTTTTTTTTTTTTTTTTTAAAGCTTTTCAAAACACAAGTTTGAGGTCTTCAGCCTTGAAATTGACTGCACAGTGCAAAGCTGAAGCAAAAGTCCTTAATCCAAAGTGTTCATTACTTTGTAAAATGCTGCCTACCTCTAACTCTTATTTATTTCTCTGAGGAAATAAGCCAAGGCAGAGTGGTTGCTGAGTTTGGTACATGAGCTGCACACACAGCAGCTATCTTCAGTGTGTTGTTTTAATATGGGTCCACAGTTCAATACACTCCTCAAATTTACAGTGTTCCACAGAAAGTTGAACTGGATGAGTAAAAATTTTTCTGAGCTGTTTTTTGTTTAGTTTGTTTTGCTTCTCATTCAGGCTTTACTGAGTCACCTAAAGCAATTGGAGAAGCTGAACACATTTTAGGCATGCAGCAGGATGGCCACATCCTCTCTGCAGGCTGGGATTTACCTGGTTCCAGTCACTTTGAGTTATATTTTGCAATTCCACCCCTAAGAACCATAAATCCATTGTGTGCAATACTTGAGGTGGGGCAAAGCAGCTAAACTGCGCATCTATGGGGTGGCTCCTGTATCTATATGTTATTTCAGTAAAGGATTTTGTCAGGAGAGCAAAGGCATAGCTGGTGCAAACACAAGAGGAATCCACCATGTCTGCTCCTTTTTCCCCCTTTGCAGGTAATGGTGCTGTGTGAAATCAAAATCCCTCTGTGCCAGCACTGAGAGTACCTGGGATGACAAGGATTCTCAGATGGATGGACACATATCATCCACATCCTCATGCACAGGTAACAATGAGCTCTTGTGAAAGACTTTTGAACTTGAAGGTCGTTTTTTTCTCTCTAAATTTGACCTGGTTTCACTAGAGTTGTGTGACATGCTGGATAAATACAGGTAATTTAAACAAGGTGTCACTTCTTTCCTGCTCTTGCTCCTGTGAGAGCATGAGGAGAGCATGGGGGAGAACGAGCTATGAGACCCTCTTCTCGATGTCCTCAGCTTTGCATACAATCCCATAAAATCTCGCTGTCTCCATTCCTGCCAAATGTCAAGGTGCTTTCACTTGCAAAATATTTTAAAACATGGGTGGTGTTTCCTCTTAAGCTAGTTTTGTTAAAGATATTTTTTAGTAATAAACCAGCTGTCATGATCATAATGCCAGGAGACCTTGTTGGTTATCAGCCATGGTGGTGGTTTCCAAAGCCAGGTTGCAAACGTTAGAAACTGATGAACATCTCTTTCCTAAAAGCCTGGGTCAGTATGCTTTGTGTCTGGGGTAGATGGGCTTTGGGTCCTGGGAAGAGAGATTGCCCCAAAAAGTGACCTTCATGCCATGGAGCAGTTCTAGGTGACTTCATCCCACACAGGAGATCAGGCAGCTCCCACGGGGTACATGAGGCCACCACTGTCAGGGAGCCATGGTGGGAAACATTGGGAAGAAGAGACTGAAGGAGGGGTTCCATGAGGGAGCCTTCAACCTAAGGCGAGGCCTGACTTTTGGCAATGAGGCAAGGACTGATGACAGAGAAACCTGTGGAGTGACTCTAGTCTTGCCTGCAAGGGACATAGGCAGGTTTCTCCTAAAAATTTAGACTTTTCCATGTCATTTACCTAATGAGTTCATCTCCCATGCTGGGGTTCCCCACCTGAGCACGGTCAGGGAGTGCTTGTGGCCTTACTGTTGCATTAAGATCTTGACGATAATTTTTCTGAGGTCCAAAGGTGATCCCAGGCTGCCATCCAGGGAATCTCTGTACTGAGATGCCCCCATGCTGCTGTTTAAACACATCAGCTTTACAGCATCTCCTTTTTCTTTGCACACTGGAAAAGCTGGACATTGCTGTGTGATCTGTGTTGTGATAGTCCTGAAAGAATTTCCTGAGTAAAACACAACTCAAGATTTTTTTCATCAAGAGTTTTTCCCCCTGCTCAGATGAAATAGGAACTTTCTCAGGGAGAACATTAAACACCTTTTAAAAGCCTTTTCTGCTGCTTCGGAGTGTATCTCTAAATCATTACGTTAATAAAATTGAAATATATATTGAATCAAAGGCAACCTAGAAAAAACTGTAAGGGTCTCAAAGGAGAGAATAATGATTCTAGGAGCACACATGGAGACCAGCTCAGTCCCAGGTGCCTAAAATCACTGTAGGTGAATACACAGGTGACATTCAAATCAAATCTACTCCCAAGCTGGGCCATCAACGCTCTATCAGCACAGAGAACGTAAACCCCACGGTTTCTCCATTTGATTAGTATTATAGGAGGAAGACAATGCAGATTTCTGTCTCTCTTTGTCCTCTGGTTTATTCTGCCGAGGGTTACCGTCCCGATGGCTGTGAGGAACGAAAAGCCGAGAGAACTCTGCCTGCTGCTGCTCTGCTTTCATAAACCCAGAAGGAGAGTTACCAGCTTCAGAAAACTCCTTTTTCTCGCCTTAAGCTGCACTACTCTGAAGCTTCACATTTCCCTCCAGTACTTCTGCCTTCGGGCGGGTTTGAAACTTTAAAGGTCGTTGGCAAGCGGCTCTTCCGAAGCGTGGGCTGCGGGCTGGGGCTGCTCCAGCGCACCTCGGCGGCCGAGCTGCGTGCCGCCCCGGCGCGGGCACAGCCGGGCGGGACGCGGGCGGGCGGGAGGCCGGTGTGACGGGCCCGGGAAGGGGGAGACCCCCGCGGGGCCGCCCCCGGGGCGGGGCCGCCGCCCTGAAAGCCGGGCCCGGCGGCGGGGCCGGGGCAGAGGCGGCGCCGCCGAGGGAGGGCGAGGCGGGGGCCGCAGCAGCACCATGGAGAGCGGCGCCGCCGGGCGCCTGGACGCCGCCGCCTTCCTCGGGGCCTGGCGGCGCTTCGACGCCGACGGCAAGTGGGGCCAGGCGTGGGGGGAGCCGGCCGAGGGGTGCGGGGTGCCTGCAGGGCTCTGTCCGTGCAGGGGGAGCGGTGTGGCTGTCTGCGATGCTGCGCCTGGGGACGGCTGTCCGAACTGACATCTGCCGCGTCCTGCAGGTGCTTCCGAGCCCACCTCTTCCTCCTCACCACAGCTGTAATTCCTCCTTCCACCCCAAAAGTTTTGCCTTCTCATCACTTCCCTGTTTCATCTGCTGCTCTCTTTTTGGGTCCCAGTTTGGGACTTTGTTGTTTCTGAAAATTTTCTGTAAGAAAATCTCCAAAGGCACGGCAATTGTGCCCAGCCCTCGCACGGAGTGAACAGATGAAATTGAATAGGACATGAGGCTCCCCTGAGTGGGCAGGCAGGGCCACCGGCTGGGATCCTGACCCTGAAGCCTTCAACTACCTGCATGCAGCCCATGACACAGTTCCTGGAACTGGGGACATATCCCTGATCCTTAATATATTTGCTCTTTGTTTAGACAATGGTTACATAGAAGGGAAGGAGCTTGACGATTTTTTTCATCATCTCCTGGAGAAACTGGGACCAGAAGTAAGTACTGTGCTGTGTTGTTGCCCATCAGGTCCAAGCAAAAAAGTTATGCTGAGAGATTGTTTGTGTTTGTTGTTCCCTGATTGCCGACTTCCTTAGCAGTCCCGAGGTAAAGAGCTTTTCTCTTGGCAACAGGGTGGCATTTGAGCACGTACAACAAGTGCAGTCAGCTGAGCAGTTTGATCAGTTGTCTCCAGCCCAACAGCTGCTGGTCAGGGGGAGATCGCAGCTGGCACCAGCTGAAGGGGCTGGTTGGCAGAGTGGAGAGAAAGTCATTTAGTGTTGTTGAGTAGAAACAAGCATGGGCACAACCTGGCTAGCTGAGCGAGAGGGCAATGTTCACAGTTTATTTGTTCAAGCCTGTGATGGTTAGTTTTGTTAATATGATAGGTTTCTTTCCCAGGTCAATTTTTTTTAACAAACATACTGTCATTAATTTTAAATGGTGCTTAGGAATAAAGCTTATGTCTATATTGCCACAAATGGCAAAAAGCCAAATGAACGTCAATTCTGTTGCTTCTAAGATCCAGACCTTGCTCTACAGTGTTTCTAGGGTTCTCCCCTGGTTTCCTTTCCTAGTTTTGGCAGCATTTCCCCTCTCTCATTATCTGCATCTACAGAAGTTGCACTACAATTTGCAGGGTGCTCTTTCCTTGGCTCCAGGTCATACCTTGCCTATGAGTGTCACCATCAGTGAAGGAGAAATCCTGCCACTCAAGCCAGCACTCAGAAGTTTACAAAGGATATAGTAATATTTTCACTACACAGAGTCTGCCCAGATAGGGAAAGGAGAAACATCTTCCAAATGGAACGAGAGGGTGTGTCAAAAACCAGAGATGAAACAATTCCTTTAAACAAAAATTAATTAACAAAGACAGAAAAGATAGCTAATAAAAGACAAAAATTCATGAGTATTGAGTGTAAAATCAGAATTGTACTTACAAGCAATTTAGCACTCTTGGATCTGTAGGGCTGCAATTAAAGGAAACAGAAGGTTTGAGTAATTTTTTTGAGTGTATTTTTATTTAATTTGCAAGTAAATTTGGATTGAAATATTGGCAGTTTCTGTAGAAATGTCTTTCAGAGCATGAATGGTTAGATGAAGAGATAGGCATGTAAAAGGCTTCAAACGAATAAAAAAAGATTCAGCAGTAAGAATATCTGGGGACACAGAAAAGCTGATTTAAAGAGAAATCAGAAAGTTTGTGATTGTTTACCCAGGAACAAAAGATTAAATTGGAAGCTGCTAGTCTTGGGCTATTGAAACAGCAACAAAAAGCATGCTCAAACAAACTCAGTGACAGCAAACGTGAGATGTTGAAGGAGATGCTTAAAATGAAATTGCAGAGCTCAGTGCTGTAGTGGGGTTCTCTGGAGTGAGTTGATGGTGATAAAATCCAGGGATAATCAGCGATCTCATGCTGAAAGCAATTTCCTAAGGATCTGAGTCAAGAGAAACTCCAAGCTCCACTCTAGCCCATAGCTGCCCTTGTGCATCCCTCACATGAGGTCCTGGGACAGCATCACACCAGCTGAGTAGCAAACCTGGTGTGTTACAGCAGTTTTTGTGGTCTTGCCGATACCAGTGTAAACTGCATTATATTGTGTCATTTATCAGCACGCAGAACTTGCAAAATGAGGGTGTTCTAGCAATGAACTTCCTGCTTTAAGAAATCAGTCATAGGTTTTTACTTGTTAGAAGTCCCTGCTTGGATGACTCTAGCTTAACTCAGCACCCTGATCCAGTTTGCATCTCCTTTGCTTCTGCTATCGAAGTTTTGCCATTAAAAGAGATAGTTTAACACAAATTGAATGGAGAAAGAACCAACTCCCTCTCCTCCTATTAATTAGAATAAATAGGCTAATTCTGACGGACCATGCTCACTAACTTTCAGAGTGTTCAGACAGGCTCTCAAGTGCTTTTAGTTTATTCCTCCCTAGTCTTCTTGCCTATTTTTGGCAGTATTTCCACTCTGGTAATATTAATGATAAAATTACATGGCAGGCTGCAAGCAGAGTAGGCTGTCTTTGTGGCAGAAAATCCAAGGGGAGCTTTGTCCTGGGAGGCTAAGAGCAGTCCTCTGCCCACTCCTCTGGGTATGGGGGTCACTTGAGCACCAAGTTAGACAAAGGTCTTAACTACCTTTGTACAATGAATTTGTCTAATGACACTGAGGCATTTTTCTCTTTTTCACATGATTTATATTGTACAGGTTTGTGATTATGGCAGGAGGGATAAAGGGTCCCCTCTGCATTGGTTTTACCATCCTACAGAAAGTGTCCTCTGTGATAAAAGCAGTGAACTGGGACTGAGCATCTCTCTGCTGTACCACTCATCTTGACCTTTACTCTTTTGGGTTCTTAATGTCATAGTTTCCTTGCACAGTAAAAAGGGAGAGACAGCAATACACTGGCACAACTTACAGATGTGTCACAAGGATTAATTAGTGTCTATGTCTGAAGAGCTACATCAGTGATAAATAATGTTATCAGCACTAGAAGTTGTCTCTGCTTGAATAGAGAATGGCTTCATAATTATATTTTTTCAGACTGCATTCTCTAAGCTGTTATTTTTCTTAATGACCACTGTGGTCCTTCAGCTCTGTTTTTCTTCCCAGTTACTCTGCAGCAGCCCAGCTGACACTAAATGCCTGGGGATGGGAGCAGCTGGGAAAACAATGCAAAAATGAGCCTGTTGGGAAGCTGAGAGACACAGCTCTTCCTGACAATTCTGAGAGAGGAAAGAAACTTGAAATATCATCCAGTGATGGAGGCCAATTAATTGTCTTTTATTGAACCATCAACAATTGTGGGGGGAAAGGGAAAACTTTGCAACAAAGGTAGTAGACCTGTAGTAAACCAGCTAAATCCCAGATGGGTGATTGCTGGAGGCATTTGGACAATGCACTTAACAACATAATTTAACTTTTGTCCAGCTCCAAAGTGGTCAGGCAATTGGAATAGTGGTTTTGTAGGTCCCTTCCAGCTGGAATATTCTATTCTATTCTATTCTATTCTATTCTATTCTATTCTATTCTATTCTATTCTATTCTATTCTATTCTATTCTAAAATCCCTTCAGTTTCCAGGTGTGTGTAATTCATCCCCATGCTAGCATTACATCTTCTAGCTGCTGGCATTATCCGCCTGTTTCTCTTATAATTGTTGTGACTTCTCTCTAACCATTTGAGCCTCCAGCTTCCAAGCTGCTGCTGCATGGCTGCAGTGAGCTGCCTGAGCTCTCTTCCGCTCTTTCATAGACCTCTTTCTCCTACATTATGGCACCTCTATCCATGCATTTTCTAGAAGTTTTTATACTGAGGTGAAAGCCTAGTGGAAAGGACAGTTTCTTTCAGTGTCAAAGAAATAATTTTATTAGAACAGGAACTATAGCTCCTGCATTTCTGTCTTACATTCCTGTACATCTTTCTTTCTGTACCAAGATCTTTCTGTACCAAGGATCTTCCTTGCTTGCTCTTTTCTATGAAGCTCTATATACAGTCTCATAGTAATTAGATGAGAGTTTTCTAGAGGAATAGCTATAAATTTTGGGGTTGGATTACTGAAAATTTCCATAAAACTAATGATGTCTGGGTGGATATGGAGAGAAATGCACATTGCCATTGGGCTTTCTCAGAAATGTATTTCACTTTGCCTAAATTATACTCAGATAGAAAACTTCCAAATAAAGGATGGTTGCCTTCACCTAACTGTAAGTGTGTAGAAGACCACAACAATTGTTGAAGTATAGATTTGATCAGACAAGACAGGTATTACCCTTGTATAAATCCCTCTTGCCTGAAAACCACATGGATATTTATGACTGGAAGGGACTGAAGTTAATCCTCTAGAGATCACTCTGAGCATCCATTAAGGATTTGTCTTGGCTTTTTACTTCTAGGATTTACTTTGCTCTTTACTAGTAGGAACACCCTCCAGCTGCTCTTGCACTTCATCCTTGCCTTGCACACTGCACAGTCTGTCTAAATAATGTGTATAAGTTAGCATGGCCAGGAATGCAACAGCTAGTCAAACAAAGTTTAATGGCCAAAGTATCAGCCAGCCTCAAAGCCATCCAAGGCAGAATTCCCATGTACTTTACCACCCCAAGAGACCTAAGGTCAATGGTGACCAGCAGCTGAGAAGCAAGAAGATCCCCAGCAGAAAGCAATCAACTTGCATCCACTTTCAGAATATTTCAGAATTCTAACCCCCAGGCAATCCTGCCTCATTAAATATTAGGATGGAATTCTTTCCCATCAGGAAAGAACTCCATTCCTATCCTATCTGGAGAGGCCCTGGAACAGGTTGCCCAAAGAAGCTGTGGATGCCCCATTCCTGGAAGTGTTCAGGTTGGATGGAGCTTTGAACAGCCTGGTCTAGGGGAAGATGCTGGAACTGGGTGATCTTTGAGGTTCCTTTCAACCCAAACCATTCTATCATTCTGATTATTGCCAAATAGATTATTGCAATAGGTTATTGCCAAATCTTTCTTTAGGTGTGGCTTTCATCAGCCTTGATTACCCTGGACAGTTCTTAATCCTGTTCCTCCACATTAAGGTATGGAAGTGCCTTGAGGTATTTCTTAATGCAAACTCAACATACCCATGGTAAAACCAACACAATATGTTTTTATCACTCAAATGCATGTCAAACGAATTTCAGCCTAGCAGAGAGGACAGAACAGAGAACATGTCCAAAACGTAACCACAAAACCACGATGGCACAGGGAAGACTGGAGTAGCCTGTGTTGGATACTGGTGTCTACTATGGGAAAAAAAAGCTTTCCCACATTTGTGCTGATGAGAGTTAAAAAAGAAACCAAAAACACAATGCAGGATGACAGGGTAAGTGCTCATCTGTTGTTGCATGCAGGAGTACAGTAAATCCTGACCAAAAATCCTAACCAAAATACAGAGCCAAATTCTCAAGTGAAAGCACTGAAGTGAGAAAGATTGGCCCAAAGGGGAAATTGGCCCTGGAGAGGTAGGGTGAAAACCCACAATTATGCAGACAATCCAACCTACAATTGCATGGGGGTAACAAAGTCATTCATGAGATTAGTTTTTACAATGAAGAAATGTTTGGCCCAAAAATGAAAGGTTCTTCTTCTAAAGTCAAAGTGTACATTACTGGTGTCTCTCATCTGGTCCTTGCTGGCCTCATATCTGTGCTGTATAGCTTTTGGCATGATAGTTGTTGATTTTCTTCTCCAACTGTCCTCCTTGGCAGACACAATTTATTTTCATAGATCTTGTAGGAACTCTATATCTGTGGGACCCTTGGCCTTTTAATCATATTTGGCAGAAACACTAAGAAGACATGTTCAAGCCAGCATTTTCAGAAAATTCTCTAGGTTTTTTCCAAGAAACAGGGCATCACAGTCACTTAAATGAAGTTTCATCTTTTTTTATACCCTAATCAATATAGCAGCTTGCTTCTAAAATCATGTCAAGAAGGAAAAATAAATCCGTTTATTACAGAATTTTCTTGACCAGCAAGAATTAAATGAGACATCCCATTTCATCAAGTAGGAAAGGCTCTGCAGTGCTCCATACATTCATTTTTTGCCCTCCAAACCAAGTGACTCACAGTTGTGTTTTCATCAAGGCAAAATTCTGCCAAGTACATGAATCCCTTAAGGAACAAAAATTTAACTAGTCAGCATGAGGCAGAGTGCAACAATATAAAAGGAATGAATTAGCAAAGAAGACAGATTACAACCAGGCTTCTAAACAATCATAACCAGCCATGACAAAAAAATAAAATGCTGCAGAAATTTTAAAAATATGTGATCATGCCCTTTCTGTGATTACAAATACTATTAAAAACCAGATTACCTTTGTGATGCTATAAATACTTCTAAAGGGTTTTCACAAAAGGGAAGACAGAGACTGGACATGGAAAGGAGAAAGCAGAAAGCAGAAAATTAATTTGTTATGGCAACTTGAAGCACAGAAGCTTTTCTCTGTAAAACTCTGTGGAAGAACATCTGTTGGAAGAAATTTACTTGTTAACCCTGAAAAATACGTTAACAAAGTCATGGCAATATTTTAAACTGTGTTCTGTTATGAGAATAATAATTATCTGGCCTTCTCATGGTAAGTAGTAAAGATTTCTTTCCTGGCTGCAGTGAGAGCAGCCCTTGGAAACCATGCATCATCCACAAACTCAGGGAGGTGCATGTACCAGGGAAAATGGAATTACAAGAAAGGCTTCTCTGTACAGAGAGACTGGAAAGGATGCAATAGCATTCACTTAAACCCTCACAAAAGGCAAAGCTTTGCAAACCTTTGAAATTGGTTGAGGATTCTGTTGCTTGCGGTAGGCAACATAATTAAGACTGCATTTTCTGATAAAGATATGCTCAGCTACAGACTTTTACTTGCTGCAAAGCTGCTTCCTCCTCTTCCATCTTATTAGACAAGAGGCACATTTTTGTATGCTGCTATTTGTTACATCATGATTTAATGCAGCAGGCAGCCCCACACAGCCACTCACTCACTCACTGACTCCTCAGTGAAATGGGAGAGGGAATCAGAAAAGTGAGAAAACTCATGAGTTGAGATAAAGGTGTTTTAATAGATAAAGCAAAACCCAAGGGCACAAGCAAAAAAGCAAAATAAAGATTTCATTCACCAATTCCCACCGGCAGGCAGCTGTACAGCCATGGTCAGGAAAGCAAATTTCCATCATGCTGACTTCAGAAGACAAACACCACACTCCAAACATCTTTTTTTTCTCCTTCTTCCCCCAGCTTTATATGTTGAGCACCATACCATATGGTATGGTATATCCTTTGGGTCAGCTGTCCTGGCTGTGTCCCCTTGCAAATTTTTGTGCAGCCCCAGCCTCCTTGCTGATGGGTGGGGTGGGGTGAGTCTTCAGATCATGTCCTTGCTTGGACAAGGGGAACATACCAGGTACATTATGGGGGTTTTCCAGCCTTTTAAATGTTTTTGGAATAGAATGGAAAATAGAGCAAGCTACTTGTTTGCACCACCAGTAGGTCAATCTTGAAAACCCGATCTCCCAGCCTTAGTTTCTTTTTGGAATATCTTATTTGATCTGTCGGGGTTTTTTCAGTCTTCTGGGATTTTTATTTTTTTTTTTTTTTTTTTTTTTTTTTTTAATTTTTTTTTTTTTTTTTTTTTTTTTTTTTTTGGTAAAGAGAAAGGTTCCCTTTGAAAACTAATGGTCATAACAAAAGGTGTATTGTTCTTAGTGTAAATTTTTTTAATATTGAAATAATTTTATCTTGAACATCCATCTTGGGAAAGCCAGTTTGTGCTTTATTATTTTATTCTTTGTGAGTAAAGCCTGAGGTTTTGGTAGAACTATTACCAGTTGTGTTTCATAAGTAGAATATTTATGAAGATAAAAAGATTGTCCAGATTGAAAAATACACTGTAGTTTAACCCCTTGGACTAAAAGCTTTTGGAGCTGTGTAAATATTGTAAATATTCCAGGCATTTATTTGATGTATCCCATAGTGTACATCAGAATATAAAAAGGAGGCTGTCCTATTTTTATGCAGGTAAGAGTGTCCCTGCCACAGACAGCTCAGTGAAGTGGTGGTTAATAGCTGACACCAAGTTGAGCAATAAGCATTTTAACAAATGACTAGTTTGAAATGCACAATACACGTTTCAAGTATCAGCTGTGATTATCATTTTGGAAGTAACTCCTCCTACTGGGCTGAGAGAGGATAATTTAAGAGTACTTTGCAAGCTTATTGAAGTTGGCAACTGATAGGCTTGCCTAACTTCTGGGAGGTGTCTTAAAGTGTCAAGGTGCTGTCAGAAGGCAATTTAAATAGCATGGGGGTGAGCTACAATGCCAAGGGGAAGGAAAACCAAAGTGTGTGTTCAGTGATGTACTGTGCCCTCAACACCCAAGCCCACAGGACTTTCTGGACACCACCATGGGAAAGGAGGATCCTGGAACCATGCCTTGGGACCCCTTCAGCCACTCCTCCTGGGGCCTGCCACCTTGGGTGCATCCCAGTGGGATCACTGCTTGGTGTTTCATCCCTAAACTGGGAGCTGCCACCCTTGTTGTTACACAGCAAGGAGCACCCCAAGGGTTGCAATGTGTGAAGCTATGCACTGGGTAAATTTGGGAGAGTCACTCATGGTCTTGTGTCACAGTGATAAAAAAGGGAGAGTACGACATAATGGAGCTTCAATAGCAGCTGGAAAGAATGAGAAACCAGGTTAGAAGACCCAGGAAGGAATAGCTGTAGTCCCACATCCACCTGGTTATAGAGATGATAAAAACTTTTCAGGACATTTATTCAGGGATTGGGAAGAAACTAATTCATTGTCTTGTAAGGATTTCAACAAAGGTATGCCACAGTCAGTTATCCTTTTCCCTTTCTTCCCTCCCCTCCCAGAGAAGGCTGATTTATTAAAAAAATATGGATATTGATCTAGTACCGATATCCAACTGTGACGGACAAAAACTCTCTAACAGTATAAAGTTAGAAAGTGTATGTTTATTCGACACCGGGCAGCATGTGGGATAGCTCCCAAATACACACTGCAGCTTCCAGGTGATTACAGAGTCCTTTTATCCATACAAGTATTGAATTACCAAAATACAAATACATATGCATAATTTTGGTACATCCCATTCTTTGCTTCGTATGCTAATCATTTTAAAATCTATTAAGTATGCATAGTTTGTCCCTTGAAATGGGTCGGTGGTCCCTTTCATGGGGAGGGGTCCCAAAATGAGGAAGTAAATGAAGTCTTCCTCGTTCTGACCTTTCTACCTTTTCAATGCAAATATGACAAATGAACTTGGCAGAACTCCCATTCCTTGTCTTCAATTGGTTTCAGAACAGAGGAGGCCCACAATTGTCTTATGTTCCTAAAAGCTATTTATCAGTTTCTATATTCTTCATTATAAACCCAGCTAACTAAACACTGTGCTGACAAGCAATCAATTATTAGTTAATTACTAACGCCTAACTTCATCAAGGCCTACTCATTTATTATTATTATTTTAATTAACTTTAGTAAGGCTTATTTCTAACTAAAATCTTAGCTCCTCTAAAATCTCTAAATTCCTTAAAGTTTATGTTTCAGGGCCAACTCCCACATAAATGGGAGAGAAGCCAGGACTTCTTCAGTGTGGGTGCTGAGGGTAACCTAGGCTTAATTTCTTGGGAAGGATTAACTAGGTGAGCTTCCCAGCCCAGCCCCTAAACTCATATGACCAGAAGCCTTTTCACATAGTGAGGAAATTGTATTTTGTGTAGTCCAGTCAGAGTGGGTACCCTCATGGTTTCTGCTAAAGAAACCATGCCTGATGAACCTAAGCAGTGTGTTTCACCTGTCACAGCAATTCCTGTCAAGACACATAACCTGACAAGTCTGGAGAACTCCTCACTGTGTATAAATCGATTACGGGGTTGAGCAGATACAAGGAGAATGTCAATTTCTTGAAATTCTGTGCTATTAACCCAGAAACACTGACAGGGCTTGGTGCCAGGTCTTGAAACAGCTGACAGGCAATAATAAGCAACAATCTGGCTCCACTGACACCTTTCAAGGCTGATGATCTAATGAACTGCAGAGATGTCATTCAAGGATAAGGATATCTTCCTGAAAAGCACAAGCTGAAAACAGCCAGGCTGGAAACTGCTGTAACACACACTTGAGCAAAACCAAACCCAGTGATATAATGAGAACAGTTGGGTAAAGAAGCAGGTGTCACTGAAATATTTTTGGGTTCCCAAACACTGATCTTCCAACTGAAAGCTTAGTATCTGCAAGGATAGGCATAGGACTTATTTCCAAAAATTCATCCACAACAATGTGTCTGTGGGCTTTTAAAAGCATTACCCCCAACTGTAAGAATGCAATGATTTGGGTGATTATCTGTGAGTGAGGAGAGATTTCTTCCAGGAGGGTCTTCTAGTGCTGCCAGCAATTTTCATGCACTTGTTGTTTTCCCCATGGCAGAGCACCATCACAGAAGAAGAAGTTCAGAGGATGAAGGAGCAATTCATGTCTGTCTACGATGTCACCACAGATGGACGCTTACAAATCCAGGAGGTATCTCTGCCCAACCCCAGCCCAGGATTTCTCTTATAGAAGGATGGAGAATTAGAACAGACTTTTTGTAGGGTCTGTAGGACTAGGACAAGGGGTAATGGTTTTAAACTGAAAGGGGGTAGATTTAAGGAAGACTTTTTCTAAATGAGGGTGGTAAAGTACTGGAAGAGGTTGCCCAGGGAGCTGGTTGATGCCCCATCCCTGGAAACAATCTGAACAACCTGATGTAGTTGAAGATGTGCCTGCCCATTGCAGGGAAGTTGGATCGGATGACCCTTCTAACCCAAACTATTTTGTGATTAAGACCTGTAGCAGACTTGGGAGATCTGGAAGATAGAGCCTGGGTGCAGAGGAGGTGACTCATGGAGTATTACATTGGCCAGATCCTTTGGTCTGGAGTTTATTTCCAAGAGAGAAACATGCCAAACCTATATTTCACATACTGGATCAATACCTACCCAAGTTTTTTCCTTTCTTTACTTTCATGGTGTGGGTGTGGTTTTTGTTGTGGGGATTTTTTTTAATGCTTTTTATCCAGCTTGCAAATATGATCTTGCCGGATGATGAGAACTTCCTACTGCTTTTCCGACGGGAAACTCCCTTGGACAACAGCGTGGAATTCATGAGGGTCTGTATCTCGACACTGCCTCCTCCACCTCGCACACCACCAGCTTCTTCAACACCAACCCTTCTGTCCTCTGTAAAACACAGCTGGGGAAATAGATGGGTATTGTGGAAGAAAAATACATTCTGACCTGTTCAGGTAGAGATGGTTTTACATTATTTACACCAGGAAAACAGAGGTGTGGTATCTCAGACTGGACCAAGGGTACCCAGAGAACTCATTACATTTCACAAACACTCTCAGCCACCTATCAGTCATGCCATTACAGACAAAATGTCCCCACTCATCAGTTCACCCCTACAGCTCCTCAGCTGCAGTACAGTAGAGACCAAGACAGCAGAGCACCATTTAAGCACCATTTTATCCTGAAACATTAGACTGTTAGGGCATGGAGAGGAAACCTCCATAAATTGGATCAACAAGCCCATAGAACTTTGCCCAATCTTCCTCTGATCTCTGCCCCTAAGTATCCCAATGGGGAATTTCAGTTTTTCCAAGACTTCATGAGGTTACTTGTATTTCACATACAAGCTGAGGCTTTCTGCAGATCAATGGCCTGTTGTATATGGCCTTGACTGAGAGTAATAAAAGAAACTGCATGTACAAATAAGGTAAGAAATGCAAAATAGTTTCTTATTATTGTCTTCCTTTTATAGACAATGTGTCTGTATTAAACATGTGATAGCAGCATGTAGCATGTACAGCATCCAAGTGTGAGTAAGAGCTATTGTGTGAAAAGTTTATTTTATTTCATATAGAATTAATTAAATGTGGGCTAATGCAACAACTGGCTCATTATGGAAGTTCTGCTTTGAATCTTTACAATCTATCACCGAGCAGATGAGTAACTGCAATATTTATGTGCTCACATCAATCTATCCCCGTTCAGATCTGGCGCAGTTACGATGCTGACAGCAGTGGATTTATTTCAGCTGGTGAACTCAAAGTAAGTTATTCTAACAAATCTCTTTGGGCTTGACCTACAGCTCACTGAGGTCAATGGGAGCCCTTCCATAGGCTTTACCAATTTGCTGTCTTTTTGTGTGAGTGACAAATGGCATTTCTAGGTTGTTCATAGTGAGTTTAAGGACTTGTGCCTTCTGGCATGGTCTCAGGGGCCCTGCTGGAGGGAGGATGGTTTGCTGTTGCCCTCGATGTCCTGCTTCCCCCTAGCCTTGTCCCATGACCTCAGTTGTCTTGGTGACCTGAGGCATCCAGTGAGCCCCACGAGCACTGCCTCGCCTTGGCTTTGCACATGTGCTTCTCCCAGCTAAACAGAGCCAAAGCCATTGTATTTTATTAAGGGAATTTCTTCTCAATCTCTTCCTGAACCTACAGGTTTTCTGAACATTGATTTCCTGTTAAAGCTCAGTCTATTGAGGCAAGAGCCTGTTCAGAAACCATAACTCAAACACTTTGAGCCAGTAATCACAAAAGTCCATCCCTGGGCTGCACATCATGTCCTGAAGTCTCAGTGTATGGCTTCAGCCTGTGTCCCAGCAAAGATGTTAGAGGAGGCTTGAGTGTTTTATTGAATGCAAATATTTTGATTTGAAATCAATTAGCAAGTATTGCAGGACTTACGCTGTCTTTTGCTTATTTTGTGAGTCTGTTAGGACTCACTCCAGTATACCTATTCCAGGGAAAATTTAGTTATTTTCTAATTTATTCAAAAAAACCCATGTTTCAGCTAAACAAAATATTAACTTTGTCAAACTGAAGACACTAGTAATAGCCTAGAATATGAAACTAGATTTGTGTAACCCTTCTGAATTTGAATTGAATTTCCTACTCTTATTTCTTTAATTTCCTCTACAGAGTAAATTTTCTCCCTTTTCTTACTACAGGATTTCCTGCGAGATCTCTTTTTACAGCATAACAAGATGGTTGCTGAAGTAAAACTGGAAGAATATACTGATACTATGGTAAGAAAATATAGAATTAATGTTGTTTAGATCTGAGTACAGCCTAAAATCTCCTTTAGGGTCAACGTCTGCAGGCAATAAAAGCTCTCTTAACAGGTTTGTCAGAGATCCCTGTGCGGAGGTAGCACATACTGCTGCTAACAATTCTTTGCACTGGACATCGGCTGTGAATGCATTTCAAATAGTTTTGCTGAGAGTTGAATTATTTCCTATGAGAAAAGAGCTCAAGAGCTTTACACCAAAGCTGGTTGAGCTCTAAACCCCTTTAAATACAGGTGAGGTGCATCCTTCTTCAGGATATGTTCAGCCTCAGGCAGATCTCCAGCTTATTCACTTCCTCCTTTCCTCTCTTCCTCCTAGCAAATCCTTTTACTCCCAAGTCATGCAGGTATCTGGCTTTTCTGCTCTGCAAAGCCCAGCAAGCCTTGCTGGCTCCCTGCTGCTTCTCTGAAAAACTGAGAGGTTGAAAGTGCCAATTCTCCACCTGGCTTATCACAGTATAGCTTTTATACTGCAATCAACAACATAGTATTTGGTGTGGGTTTAGCATCAGTCACCTGGATTTTAGAGCAACTTATTATATCTAAACATCTAAAAACAAGAAGGGAAAAAATATCTAATTTCTGGATGTCATTCTCAAAGGTATAATTTGAATTCCACTAGCAGACATCTATCACTGCAATTTTCTAAATGGTTTTCAGATGGAATTGCTTTGTTTCTTGGCACAAAATCTGTGTTTGTACCTAAAAACCAGCTTGGTATGCAAGCAAACAAGGAGCTGCCCACATATTTTGCAATACCATGTTATGTATGTGTGATTTGTGTGTGCCCAGATATGTGACCCTTTAGAACAGTATGAGAAACTGCACTGTTATAGAAGAGTGTATATTTTGTTTCTGTTATTTATAAGACAGTGAAGAGAGAGGAATGCCAGCTACAGAAATAATTTTCCAACTGATGGAGTTGGAAAACAAAAAAAGCCCAGAAGTCACAGCTAAGACAAAAATATTTCTGGTAGCATTTGCTGGTAGCAAATATCTTTCATTCTGCTCCATTAAGGTTTCCATCCCTGGTGTTTAATCTCTGATCAACTGCTGGGGAATAGGCCATCTGAAGCTTGTAGGCAGTGGGTGGTTCATTTCCTCCAACTCATTTCCTTTCCCTTTCATTTCCCAAGAAAGATCTGTGATTCTGCTACCCCAACGCAGCCAGGTATCAATGCAGCTCAGGGCTGAGAGCCAGGAGGTCTGCTTTCTATTTCCATGGTTTCTTGTAGAAGGGCTTCGTATCTTCAGAGAGGCAATTTAATGTCTATGTTGGAAGATAAGATTTGATATGGGAAAAGGGAATGCTTTGTATATCTAGGGAAATCTATGATCTGAAATGCAAATCTGGCTCCTGAGGACAAAGATTTGCCAAGCTGCAATGCCAAAAGAATCAGGAATATTAATGGTTATTAGAAAATGAAAATGTGGCAGATGATTATTTTTTACCTTGCAATTCTTTAAGCTGAAGATCAAGAATATTTATAAAAACACCTGATCCCAAAAGCTAAGGCAGGGTGTGAAATTACCACTGACATAATCTTATACTATGATATCCTGAAATAAAATAGAGGATGTGAACATATATATTACATATATGACAGAAAATTATCCACATGGGCAGTATCCTATAGCATCAGATAAACTCCACAAATTATTCCATAGGAAGTTATCTGAAGTAAGAAGGCAAAATTCTAGGGAGGGAAGAAAGATTCAGCCTTGCATTTGCAGGGCTGGATTAAAGACGAAAAAGTGACTCAAAGGTTTATTGTCAAGGCCCAGGATAATGGGGACCCTTTATTTCCTCTCTCCCCTTTCCCACATGGAGTGAGGAGCTGTTGGAGTGCAGAGTCCCACTGCCACTGGACTCTGCCACCATCACCACTATTTTGGATAAATGGGTCAGTGGCCCATTCATTTTTTCCCTGACTCTGTTATATCTTTGACAACCAGCAGCAGTGATTCCTTTTCTGCAGATTGGACATACTTATTCCTCATATTGGACATACTTATTCCTCTCTCCTATTGCTTTGCTCCCACCCTTTTATCTTTTTAGAGCACAAAGTCCTTGTGAGCAGGACCCTGTTTCTGCTGCACACACCTACAGGGTTTCGCAGGGTGGCCCGACTATTCAGCTCAGGCCTTTCAAGAGCCAATGTAATTATTATTCAGTTGGAATAAGCTCTGTCCCAGGGAGCTGTAAACCCATCTGTCTCCACAGGAATATACAGATCTCTGCCCTTTTCTGTACGTGCACAGCTGGCTGCACATATCTTAAGCAGCTACTGATATACTGAGTGGACCCTAGGGCCTTCTGGAGGATAAAGGGGAAAAGGCAAAAACTATAATTTAGAAGAAGCTACCCTAAGCTTGAGGGAAAAATTTTTATGGTTCTGGCTGGGTATTTGCAGTTTGTGAGCAGTGTGAGCAGATATCATATCAACCAACCAGAGCTTGTTAAACTCTTGCCCCTTGTCCTGCTATGAATGATCTCATACAGCATTAAAAAAAATGCTGAGAAGAGGGAGAGAGTATTTCTTTTGGAAGCGATTGGTCATCTCTGGAAAGGAACATCACTTTATCAGGTTGCTTAGCAGCCGCTTCTTAAGAGGCTATTCTGTTTCCTTGTGACCTTGACATCCTTCCTTCAGAGAACACTGGTATAGATCAGGGATTTGATGAACAAGTGATGAACTCCTATAAAGACAACAGGTAGTGAACACATCGGCATTGCACAAACTCTGTGAGTCTGCTAAATCAAATCCAAAAGAGCACTAAAGCCACTGGGGAAAATCACAAAAGAACATTTGAGTTCTCAAGGCTCTTCATGGGGGAATTGAGGTGACAATGCTGTGGTGAGGAAGCCCCTTTGTAGGCACTGTTGTTTTTTTCTTCCATGCCTACATAAATACATATTTGTATTAATAGTCATTACATGTGTGTTAATAATTATTTACATGCACCCACTCACAGTTCTTAGTCTTTGAAAACAATCTGTAGGTTTGTTGCCTTCCCACAGGCAGTGACCAAGAGCTGTTGGCAGGGAGCAAGTGCTTGGAGGTTGGTGTGAAGCCTGATATTGCTCTGAACTTCCTGAGAAGAGGGCCCAGGGGCCCTACAGTGTGTGCTTTGGGAGACAGAGTGAGCATACATGAAAATGGATGGAGGGTTTAAATAGCATGGTGAGAATTTTCTGCCTTCCTGAATTAACAAAAGCTGGAGAGATGAAGACTGACCCCTTTGATACTTCATGATGAGGATACTGTGGATGATGACAGTAGAACAAACTTTTCAATCCCTCCCACCTCCCCTCAGCCCCCAAGGTCAAGCTGTCAGATTTCTGGGTCCTGTTGAAGTTTCAGCTCAGAAATATCCATCTCACATATGCATTTGGCAACATTTTTTAATGAGTGACAGATTCCATTACCTGTGTGTGTGCACAGCTGTGCACTTACGCAGAATATTGTAAATGCCAGGATATGAACTAGATTTGAGATATGGTTTCTGATAGTCCACAGCTTCCCAGATAGCAGCATGTCACTTCTAGTTTGTAACCCCCATGTCTACAAGCTGCATGCAGGGCAAGCTCATTTCTGAGTCAAACTTCAACAATTTAAGTTGTTTATTCTGTTGAAACAGTTACACATACAACATTGACATTCCCTTTTTTTATTGCCTTACGTCAGATGGAGCATAATGTCAGATAATGTCAGATGGAGCATAAAAAAATCCTTCAATCTGAGCATTATTGCATTTCAGTAAGATTCAAAGGACAGTTCTTGTCCAGCCTGCATGCCATCTTTGCACACCATGGGTTAATATTCTAGAGAGGGAATAATGTAAGTGCAGTGACTAATAACAAGTATTGGTCATGAACTACAGCATTTGAAAGCTTGTAGATGGTGATGACTGAGGATGAAATCTGAACCCCAGAGAAGGCAGAATAGATATTTTTTCCCAGCTATAATTACACCAGGGTTTTGCTGGGCTTATTTGCAGAGATTCTCCTGGGCACTGAGTTATGTGCCCTGAGTGCACAAGCCTGCAGCTGAGGGCTCTTCATCTTCTCAGTGCAAAAGGAAAGAGATTGCCTTCTCCCTGAGCATAATCTGTGTCCACGACTATGCACTGTGGACTACCTTTATTGTACATTGGGGGGATTTCTGGTGCTTTTGTGGCTGCTGCCTGTCACCTCTGCAAGGATAATGCAGAGTTTCAGTGTGGTCAGTTCCATGTGAAAGTCTGTGTTCAGTGCTGATGCCAACGTACTCTGTGAGTAACTAAAAGCCAAAGCACAGAAAATTCAGGAGATTTAGACCTCTAACATCTTACTAGTCAGGGTAGCATGTCTTTGTTAAAAAAGTCTCATACGACCACCCAACAAGTGTAATAGTGAAATGACAAATATTTATTGTATTGGAAAAAAACCTATACAGAATTTATTATGTTTGTGAACACACCGAGCAAACTTCCCAAAGCTCTAGAAGTACCATAGGAGTAGAGTGTAGCCTAAAAGATTGTTCCTAAAGTGCATTCTTTGCTCATCCCTTCTCCTCCCGGTAGTGGTCCATGCCAGCCTCTCTCCCAGGTGACCGAGAGGACCCACACAGCTAATGAACACAAATCCACCTCCTGTGTCCCTTCTCACTTTAATGCTGGGGGTGCTGTCACACCCAATTTTGCACCACACTTGCTGTGGCATAAGCCAAGGGAAGCAGAAAATCCCATTTAAGCTCAAACTTCATTTCTGAAGATCAAAACCAACAGAACTCAGGAGACTGCAGGCTTCTGAACACCCCAACAGATAATGCCTTGGTCTCTTAGGAATCAAATCACTCTTAAAAATCAAAATGCTGAATAACTTGTCTATGTGACATAGGTGGTCTGGCTGGGCAGGACACTGAGCTTTTGTCCTGAGGGTAACTTGCTGGCCACTGGGCCCTCCTGTCACTCTGAAATGCCTTTGTAACCCCATCCTTCCCTAAAGAAAGAGGTCTTAGGCAGTCCTGCATCTTGGGCTGATGCCTGTCTTTATACAGTGTCAATAACCTCTGTACTCCCTGCCCAACTTTTGTTTCAGCTGTTGGGCATAGGTGCCCATGATATATATATTAAAATATATTTGTGAGTCTAGGAGGTCAAGTAAAACTGACTCTCTCAGTGTCCCACTTAATTGCATACAAAGAAAGAGAGCCAGAGAAGGTATGAAAGCAGGTTTTATTGAATCTCCTGATCACAGAACTATTTCTTTTGGTTGTTTACTTCTTTCCTTATCTCTGTCATGGAAAATAATTCAGATTTATATTACTCTTCAAATAATGTGTGTGTTTGTCATATTGTGGTTTTTCAGTGGCCTTTAAAACACTGGACTGAGAAAGCAGAGATATTTCCTTTGCTGAATTAAAAGCTGATGGCCATTTTGATTTTGCAGTTTTAAAAAATGGAGATGTAACAACTTTTATTTGCCAACCAAGCTCTTAAATATTCTCTGTCTGTCTCAGAGTGCCTCAGAGTAGATTCAAACAAACAGGGTGTGCCCTTGGTGCACTGCCATTAAAATGTCAGTGAATTAATTTGTGCAAACACTTTAAAACATGGGGGTAGCTTGACAGTATCGGAAATGCATCATTTTATAAAGCATACTGCTAGATGCAACAGAGCTTTTAGTAAAATTGGGTGTTATTTAAACATGGCAGACCTTGTCCTTAACCACATTGAGATGTTTCATATCAGCTTGGCAGTGTAAATATACCTTTCAAGAGAGTAAACTGAAAATCCATAAAATTTAACATATCAAGATGGTGTGTGAAGGCAAAAGTTTAAATTAGAAACAACCTCATAACCATTTCAATTATCTGCTTCTCCCATTATGTATGCTTTGTCGTATGGGGTGGGTACCCTCTGTCATTCTGTCATTCTTTGTGTACTCATGCACACAATTAGCAGATCAGATCAAACACTCACATGCTTGACAGTTGAAAATTTGATTAAAAAACATTTCCCCAGGCTGTTCCCTGAGTAATGCAGCACACGACTGCCATGTAGTGGGTATGCATGAGCTCCACTTGTCCCAATAACAGGATTTGGTCTATCTTATTAGCTGTGGTACCTGAACTAATTCAGTGAACACCAGCCCTTCTACCCTACATGTTTTCCATCTTTCATGTATTAGTCACTGGACAAGAATTAGCTTGGCATAGCTCTTCCAGACACACTTTGTTTCTTTCTGTTGACTATGGATGATCAAAATATTGCATGTGTTTGAAAATCGTATTCAGGGTAGTTGTGGCAGAAAAAGGCCAAACACAGAAAACACAAAGGTTCTCTCTTACAGAGCTGAGTGAAGGAGGTCAGGGAGGGGACTTGCTTAGTTGTAAGTAGATGTGGTCAGTCACTGAAATTTTAATATCAAGCTGAAAAGACACAGTGCAAGAGAAGAATGTTTTCTTTCATTATGTAATCCACCAAGGAGTTTATTACCTCTCTATTAAATGTGTTTTACTGGGATCTGCACTGCTGCAGGAATATTGTAAAGGATTCAGAAATTGGTAGGATTGAAAACCATATGCTCACAAAATTGATAATGAAACACAATGAACCACCAGCTTTCATCTAGTCTGTTACATTAAGAGTGCACAAAACTCTCCCTGATTATTTGCAACTTCTTAAACCATGAAAATATGCTGCACCCCCAAAGTAGAGCAGATGCAGATGCAGGCAGGACACATGAAGTCCCAAGACAAAGACAGCCATGCTGGGATAGTTATTTATTTATTCCCTAGAAAAGGACATAAGCCTGGAGATGCTTTACTGGAAAAGAAACATGAGACTTGTCCCAGACAATCCTATGTGAAATGAGAATTGTGCCCCAAGTCTGGCTATTGGACAGAAAATCACCAGTTCTGCCCTGGTCCCATGAGCTCGTATGGAGATCAGGACATGGTGATCACAGAGTTGAACTTCTCCCAGAAACTCAATGTTTGCTTTTCTGAGGCATCACAGAGAGAAAAACACATCTGAATTTGAAGTCTAGGCTGAAGCACTGAATTCTAGTCTCAATATTGTAATTCTGAGATACAGCAGAAATGGGAGAAAATAAAACACACTTTCAGGAGCTCAGAAACATGGGAGAATCCAAGAGAAGAACTAAGTGCCATATTGCTGTGGGAGGTCTAATGGGGCAAGAAGCAGAATGCAAGAAGTTAGATCAGCTGGAAACGAACAACTTGGACTGATGCTATCAAGGGTAAATCTTCAGGATGGCCTGGGAGCTTTATTTGTCTCCCCAGCTCTAGAGCTAAGGTAAGTTCAGAAGTCTTTCCACTGTCATTAAGTGGCTCTGCACAGAGCACATTTGTCAGAGGCCAGTTAAATGGTAAAATAGCTTTCTTTGTGCCACTTGAACACCCACATGGCTCTCGTGATGCTATTTTTCCAAATATCTCAATATAGGCCTTCAATCAGTCATAGGATTTTCATTCTGTCTTTCAATGGGAGGAAAAGTGAACCCATACCAAACACCTCCAAAAATTCCACCCAAACCTCGCAAGTGTAAAATACACAGAATAATTAATGATATAGAATCTGTTGCAGAATCTCAGTCTAAATGTGGTATAATAAAGGATTACTGTGGTCTTGCTGTCCTTACTCCCCTTGAGCAATGGGCAGGGAAGAGGCAGCACTAACAAAACAGGCAAAATCTCCCTGAGAAATGGTATCTCTCCAGATGCTTGCTACCTTTTCTCACATGTTTATTAGGCTCTGCCCTGGCTCCACTGCTGAGAAGTTCTCAGGACATGCTTCTGGCTCCCATGTGTTCAGGCTATGTCATAGGGGATAATCCTGTCCATCTGAGTTTTGTCAGATGGGGCTGGTCAAGGGCTTCTCCAGCAGCTGTGCAATGCACAAAAGATCTGTAGTGAACCAATTACTCTGCACAACCACTAAACAAGCAAATGTGATATATCAAGGTGAGAATAATGCATATTGCTTAGCTGAGTATTTGACAAAGAAAGGTCAAATATATATCATAGTATATTCATCTTCCCCCACACACAATGTAGAATATACATTTTTTATAGAACTTTGAACCATGAGTTTTTCAGGTTTGCAACTCATTAAGCATCACCCCCCCACACCCACCCCTTTCTTTGTAACAGACTATTTTTGTGCCTTGAAGGGGAATGCAGAATCAAATACAGCAAATAAATAAATAAATATTATTTTTATTGTGATGGCTCATCAAAATGATGCTATTCAGCAAAAGAAAAGAATAAGTTTTGAATTCACATTTAACCTCTTGATGCTGGCAGCCTGAACCTTCTTCTGAGTCTTAGTGCATTCTAGCAGCTGGCCTTGAAATGGGCCTTGCTTGAGTCAAGCAAGCCCTACAGATTTAGTGGTGTAAAATCCTGACCCGAGTGCTGGTTAGAAGGTGGCATTTGCACCTCAGTTGCACGTAAGCCACAGCAACAGTCAAAGGTAAGGATGGAGTCCAGGTAGAAGTGTTTAGAAATTTCTCCCTTTTTCTGGCTTTTTTTTTTTTTTTCCAGGACCAGGGCAATATCAGTATTTAGTTTCTGAAGGTCTTTCCTGCAGACCTGCTTTATCCTGATGTAAGGTGGGAAGGGAGTGGCACTGGTATTTGATTGCTTTGGGTTGTTGCTGTAAGAAAGCTGGTGGGTTTTGCTATTCCCTTGTGCCACCCTTGTACTTGGTGCAAGCACAGGATGCCATGCTGCCCAGGTTTTGGGCAAACACCCTGAGCAAGTAGAGGGAAGGGCACAGGGCAGAGCAAAATGTATACTGCCTTTTTTTTCTTTGTATGTGTGTTCTCCCTATGGCCCATCTGTTTTATGTCTGTCTTCTTGATTTCTAGATGAAAATCTTTGACAAAAACAAAGATGGACGACTGGACCTGAATGACCTGGCAAGGTAGGATTTAATAATGTTGGTGGTGTGTTTCAGCTCACAATGGTAGAGCCACACAAGGTGATGTTCTCCCTCTAGGGACGTGCAGTTGAATTCTACCTCCTTTTCAATTAGATCTGCTCTGATCCCACCTCTCCAACCCATGGTCCCCATTGCAATAATCTGAGAATCTAGAGCCAGGAATAGGAGCAATGCCAGGATCTGTCTGTACAACATCAATGTGCTCTGGCATAATCAGAGGTGCTTCCCAGGAGGTGGAAAGCAATCAGTGGCTCTGTTTCTCCAGAAGAAGGATGACAGTCTTTTCAACAGGGCCTCAGACATACATTTATTTATCATCATTACATGCAGCAGGGATTGCAAAGAATTTTTACTGCATTTTGAACAATGAAAGTGCCACCACAAAAAAGTTTGGCAGTGGCAGTAGGAAAGAATTTAGAGAGCCAAGGAGAAATGCTTGTAAATTAAGCTGGGATCTCAATAATGGGCCTCTGTCTCTTTTCTGTCCTTGATACTTCAGAAGCTTTTAGATGATTTTCACTGCCGAGAGATAGAGAGTATGCTTCTCTCTCTAAACTATGTGCATTGGTTAGATAGAACTTTAAATTTTCAGATACAGTCTTAAAAGGCTAGTTTAGAGGATGAGGGGATGAAGGTGCTGGTTTGCCACTGTTACTCTGTGCTTTGAATCCTGGCAAATGCCAGCACAAATAACTGCAGTGCATACAGCAGTTTTCTTTGACTATGAAATGTATGAGGAGAATCTGGGGCAGGATGGAGAATATCTAAAGGGGGTTGCTGTTACAATTTTCTCTTAAATACTGTTCCCTTTTGGGAACCAGGCCATCTGAGGCTCTCCTCCAGTCTGAAAACATTTCTCAGACTCCAAATCCCTCCATGTGCAGACACAGTTCAGGAATGCCCTGTGCCATGGGCTCTAAAAAAACCCTCAAGGTCAGCAGAACAGTTGGAGAGAGAAAAGGGTTTATTAGTGCTTGACAGGTTTAGGAGATGAAAAGAGAGGAATTCTGCCAGTCTTGGTGTACAGACCAGTATTATTTTGTCCTTTACATTTTACAACAACCAAGTCCTCCCTTCAAGAGAGAGCCATAAATCACTTTCTTTATTGCAGCACAGCAATCCAGTTTACAAGGAATGATTGTCTGTTAGCTCTTACTACAGAAACTGACACCCTCTGTTGTGCAGGACCACCAGAAATGCTCTGGGAGATGCAATGGTGCCAATAGGCATTTCTGTGGTGAACCAAAGGGCACCCTCTTTGCTCCATCAGACAGGGAGGAAGGTGTGTGTTCCCACAACAGCCCACTGTAAATAACCCCACAAGCAATTTTCTCTTTTATAGGTCTTTAATCTAACATCCCTTTACTTTGCAAGCAAGAAGAGCTCAGAATAGTTCGTGTGCAGATGAAAAAACAAACAGATCATAATTAAAATCTCTCCATTCAGGATTCTGGCACTCCAGGAAAATTTTCTTCTACAATTCAAGATGGATGTAAGTAGCACTAATGTTTGATACATTGATTCTGTCTCCAGGTAAGATGACCTGGGCTCAAACTTGAAATTTTTGCTTTAATTTTTCATTTGTTTGTCCTCTCTGTATGCAGGCTTGCAGCACAGAAGAAAGGAGGAGAGATTTTGAGAAGATCTTTGCACACTATGATGTTGTGAGTCCCATGAGTCAGTTAGTTCATTCCCTTGTGATTTGTAAATGTGTATTAGGTTTAGCGTGTGCTGCTGAGACTTCTTCCTCCTGCTGGGTGCTGCTGGAGTCATTGAGGAGCAGCAGCTGTGCCCAAGCCCATGGCCCATGAGCCCAGATGCCAGACTGGGAGGGATAAAATAGGGAGAGAGAGGAGTAATGCTCAGAGATCTTGTGTCAAGTACCCATTTTGACTTTCTCCATTGCCATAGCCAGTGCTGCTGCATTAGCATTTTTCCTGCAGGAGATGCAAGGGAAGAAGAGGAGGTGGTGGCTTTTGCACTCACAGTCTCTGGCAGTTCAGGATCTGCATCACCACCACATTGAAAAATAAACCCCCTTCCCATACCAAATCTATGTTTTTTTAGGGAGTCTGGCTCAGGACAGACATAAACGTTTAACTGCCTGTTAGACATCAGTAATTCAGTGCTGCTTCTGGCAGTCACACAACTCCCTCAGGATGGTGGGAGAGATTGCTCCCATTTGGTGGGAAGAGATGGTTTGGGAAAAACAATGCGATCTTAGATATCAGGAAAAAAATCCTTTACTGTGAGGGTCTTGAAGAGCTGAAACAGGTTTGCCCAGAGAAGCTGTGGATTTCCCAACCCTGGAAGTGTTTGAGGCCAGGTTGGATGGGGCTTTGAGCAACCTGGGCTAGTGGAAGATGCCCCTGGTCATGGTGGAATGCTTGGAATTGGGTGATCTTTAATGTCCCTTCCAACCCAAACCATTTCATGATTGTATGACCTTTATGCTAGAGAGCCTGGTGACCAGGTATTGGTACTCACCAGTAAACACTGTAGTAGTTTTGACTCACTGGGGAGTTTTGATGTTTATTCCTTCTTTCAGAGTAAAACAGGAGCACTTGAAGGCCCAGAAGTGGATGGGTTTGTCAAAGACATGATGGAACTGGTCAAGGTATCTTCATGACTCTGTTTGTTTATACTCTTAAAGATCAGTGCTTTTGGAGAGGCTATGTACACAGAGACACTAGTAAGAACATAGAGACAAATTTTAGTTTGATCATCAGCAGAAGGCAATGTCACCATCTCAGCAGGTATACTGTAAAGCATTTCAGTGTATCACAGAAATTCTGCCTCACAAATTAATACAGCTTCCCTCAGCAACTATTTTTAAAAGGTTCATTCTAGTTCATACTTTGAATTGGGCAGATGTTACAGCATGATATGGATGGGTCATCACAATTTCTTTCTTCTGTTTTCCTTGTGGATGTGGTTCTCAACAGAATAACCTCATGGTTCATTAGTTCATCTCAGGGTTACAATTGAAAATTACTTGAGGTCTGTCTGCAACCAAGAATATCATACCTGGTGTGTGTCTTCAGCTCCTGATGGACAGAAGAGTCTGTCTTCATTGGATTATCTTGAGTTTCCAAATGCACTCCAAGATAGAGCTTTTGACCCAAACAGAATGCGATCTTTAGCTTCCTCTGAGCCTGAACTGTTGCATTTCCACACAGTGTGAGATAGCTGTGCTGCCACATCCATTCAGGAGAGAGCAGAGAATGGCAGCTGTGTGCTGATGGCTGCATGTGTGTGTTCTGGCCATGCAGTATGCAGGGAAGGGTGTGGGGGTGGGCAGGAGGCTGGATTTGTGCTGTGTGTGTGTGTAAAAGAGAAAAATTTGTACTTTGCCTTCATCAGCATTGCCCTTGGACACCACAAACTGTGCATGTGAATTTGATCCCCTCCTGAGAATGAGGGAAGCAGAGCAAGCAGTACAGCATTAGGAGCATACAGAAACTGTGTAGCCTGTAAAATGTGTCTTCAACATTAACTTGATCCACAAAAGGTATTTTTACATTGCTGACTACTCTGTCAAATAGCAGTATGCTGACAGAAAAGTCACATTAGTCTTTGCACGGCAGGTTTGAGAGAGGAAACCAGGTGAAAGCACAGGTCTGGTAGAGCAGGGATCTGCATTACACAACTTTCTGAAGTTTTCTTTTATATGGATCAGATACTGTTGGCCTTGACTGAGCACAAGAGTCCTAGTGTGTTTCTACACAGTCACTCATGGTTCCATGCACCTTCTGCCTTTTTAGGGCACCCTTTCCCCATCTTCTGTTTGCTTCCCCATGGCATATGAGATGATGTGAGACCTTTTGGTCACTCTTCCTTGGGTGGACTTCCCAGTTGTTACATGGTGGGCTGCTTTACATGATGGGGAAATCCGGAGCCATTTTCTTTCTCAGCATTCTTTTTCTCTTTGTCTGCAGCCCAGCATTAGTGGGGTGGACCTGGACAAGTTCCGTCAGATCCTGCTCAACCACTGCGATGTGAACAAGGATGGAAAAATTCAGAAATCTGAACTAGCTTTGTGTCTCGGGCTGAAAATTAACCCATAGCTGGGAAAGTGCTTGTGCTTGTGTTTTCCTTGAAAGATTTGCCTGCTTCTCCTTATAGAAGTGTGTTCTGTGCTGCTGTGGGAGCGGTGGGGAGCTGAGGCACCATGCTGCCAGGCTGGAGAATCGTATTTGCTCAGTGGCCTCCTTGCTCCACCAGCTCCTTTGTGATGTCTGCTTGCTGCTGCCTCTTGTGGGTCCCCTTAGCAATGTTTGCCCACCAGCCGATGAGCTGCTCAGAAGAGAGGTTGCTGTTATTCTGCTTCATGAAATGCTGCCCTGCCCATTCTCTTAGGATAGAACAGCATCTCCTCAAAAACATCCCCTCAGTGCTGTCAGAGTGCAGGTACTTAGATGTTTCTGGTGGTCATTTTATAGGTGTAAAGTCATTACTTTGGTGAACATTGTGCCTTGTGCATTTAAAATACTGGATGGATGACAGTGTATTTGTGCAGAAATAAAATGGCAATTACAGAAATTCAGTAACATTGAAGTTTATGTGTTATGTACAGAAAGCTATCTGCCACAGGCTGGCAGGTTGTGCATTGTAGCCTTTTATGTAACAGGCATCAAATGGCAAGAGGTTTTGTGATGCCTATCAGTTGTGGGGTTTAAATCTGTAATGAAACATGTTAGATCCTTCCCATGGGGAAACCACACACACCGTATGTGGTTTATGTGTTACCCTCACACATGTCATCCTCAGGATGAAGCCACAGAGTAACATCATTTCTGGAGGACACATCTCTTCTGACCCAAACTGAAATAACCTACAAGGGTTCAATAAGCTAGAAAACTGGAAGGACAGAAGCCTGATGAGAGCAAAGCTCCTACACATGCTTGGTTTTTTTTTTCAAATCTGTTAGAGTTGGTGGATACTTATAGAGCTTAAAGCTTCCTATTACTCCTGGACCACGAGTGTAGTCCCAGAGCCCAATGGCAACAACACCATTTGTGCCATATATTTCCCTATTCTAAGGGCTTTGACCGAATATTCAGAAAGTGTCATGCCTACACTATCATGCCCAAATTATTCTTTCTTCATTTCCCAAGAGAAAATTGTGCAGGACGCGTTGTCGGCAAAAATTCCTCACATTTCAAAACTTCTGTTTCCTCCATATGACAAACCCACACTTGACCCTACTAGGGCCTTTCTGGTCATGTTTTCTGCACCAGGAAGCACAATGAAACATTCCCATCATACTCAGTTTTGTAAAAATTAATCAGAAATTGCCTTCAGTCAACATGAATAGACATGTAAACATGGATTACATAAAGCTCTTAAGAACATACTCAATTTATGCTCATTTTCTATTTTCATTGATGTTAATCTCATAGACCAAACAATGCTAAGTGCTTGTTTAACCCCAGCACAGAGCTATGGCTTTACGTTCTGAAACTGCTTTTTATCACCCTGGCAGCAACACAAATCACAACCACAATAACAGAGCTTTACAATGGTTCAAAAAAACCACAAACAAGGAATCAGGCCTTGGCATTAACTCCTCAAACCAGCAGGGTTGCAGTTTTACTCATGGATGCTCACACCCCTCTAAGGAAAAAGCAGTGGACAGGACTGCAGGACCACCAGCAGAGAAATCCCCCACAATGCTGTTTATCAGACATGCTTTATCACTCTCTTTGAACAACTTGTAACAAATCTAACAGAGTAAAACAACTATTGTTTTATTGTACCTCAAATAGGATGTAGGATGTGACTGATCAACATAAACTGATCAACATATGCCTTTAAGTATGTTCTTCTGTTTCTCTCCCTTCAGTCGATATCATTATAATTGTTATTCTTCTTTTCTTAAACTACAGTTTTTATTCCTTTGGACATGGGAGATATTTATGTACCATCCCCTTTGATATATTTCCACATATAGATGTAGGGTCTTTTTGCTCTTTGTATTTCCCAGTGATGGCAGATCTATATTCTGTCTCCCCTCTGTTTAATCCTACTCATATCAGTAAAACTGCTTCTTATTTATTGAAGTATAAGTTGAAGCATATCCTGTCCTGCCTCACCAAAACTACAGCAACTCTTAACCTAAAGGGAAAATTTATTTTTAAAGACTTGATACAACCAAGGTCTCATTTCAAGAATTATAAAACACTTCCTCTTTATTACACCCCTATGCTTTTCACATTCTCTACAGCCAATAGTTTTATTCAATAGACACTGACCAGTAATGAATGTGAGATATCAGTGTCACAATGTATTTTACTTCTTTTGTACATGTCTGGGATTTATTTTTTTTTTAAATACTCATTTTGACACAGGTTTCACACAACTAGTTTTGCTAGCTTTTAATAAGTGAGTGCATAGGCTCCAGTAAGTGAGTTTAAAGGAGCATTTTACAAAACATTAGCAAGAATTAATTTGTAATAATAGATTAAATGGTTATATATAGAACTCAGAGAATGAGGTTTTATGAATTTTTTTAGTTAGTTAGTTTTCCATTCCCGCAAGAGTTTGTTTTTTTATTGTGTCCTGTCCAGAAACCAGAGAGCAGGAAGACAGACACACGTGCTGTGTTGTTGGAAGGACCATAAGGGAGCGCCGTATCTCAGTGGGACTATAGCCTCGGTGAGCTGCAGATCCCCTCCAAGCAAAGCAAAGTGTGAGATGCAACGGGATTTGAGCCCACATTACAAATGTCAGCAAGGCAATCACTAGTGAGACATCGTTTTATAAACCTGTAGCCTCTGAAAGTCAACATGAAGAAGGGAAACAGGCATTTTGAGACTTCTTGCAGAGAATACCTCTTCCTTGAAGAGCTTTTTTTGGTTTTGGGTCTTTTTTAAAATTATTATTTTCACTTCAGTAATAAATTATCTTCCAGGTCCTTTGGTCTCAGGCTCTGGTAATATCAACTTTTTAGATTCCTGTAGATATAAAGCTGGGCAATGCATCTGATAGAGTATAGCTTTTTTCCATTTTGCAAATTTGAAGAGTACTTCTGTGTACTCCTACACAAGATAATATTTCACATTTAAAGGGTTACACAAAAAATACTTGTTTTGCATTAGATATATGAAAACAGCAACAATTTTTGTGGTTATCACTCACTTTTTAGGTGACTACATCATGGTAGCAGTATTTGAAAGCAGGAAGTTCATTTGCAAATATAGTTTTCCCTTGGTATTTTCATGTTTTTCTTTAGAAAAGTGGGGCTAAGGGAATCACAGTTTTCCATCTCTTCATGGTATGCAAATCTGCTAAAATAAACTTTTAACTGACTCATCATATTTCATAGATGTATTTCCAAAGCATTTGTAGTAGCCACAGGTGTAGTAGTCAATATGTACGGTTCTCCCAAATGTGCATTTTTATGGTTGGTTTTCTTCCTTTACTTGTTTAACTGGTAAACTGCTGGATCTGGAAATCAATGTGTGAATTTCCTCAGAACAAAGCTGTTCTTTTGCTTCCCTTTTCACTGTGAGTTGTATGAGATCATGCCCTGCACTCCTGTCATGCTCCTTGCTTGTCTTGGCCCTTCTCATGTCTGGTACTTGACATAACTTTTATCTGGATGACTTGATACAACACCTTTCAGGAGAACCTGCCTCTTACTGCTTCAATTTACTGTGTAGAACTGATATCCATGAAAAATTAATGTTTATAGGGCTTTTAAAGTAAAATCCATCCCTTGTTTAACTTCATTGGTTCTGTTGGAAATGAAGGTCCTTCTTCTTCCATCATTTTGAAACTCAACACACTCTTTGCTTGTTCCAAACCATCATCACAGGGACTTGCCACTGGAGGCCCCCTGAGTCAGCCTCACAACCCCAAATGATTAATGTGCCAGTTGTGCCTTGGTCTGTGCAATTTTTCCCCAAGAAAATGAACCCACATTTACATGCTCACCTTATTCCCCAGTGTGAACACACTCCAGCAATCTCACATCACTGACACACAAATGGGAAACAAATGAGATCTTTAGGAATTGTAGCATTTAAATTTCATCAGTGCTTTATTTTCAGATTTAAAAAAAAATTATCTCTCTTTGTTCTCACAATTTTGCTTTAAATAACAGGTGTGAAGCTGCCTGCACATCTTACAAAAACTGCTCTTTATTCCAACCTAGAGCTTAGAATTGAGCATCAGTCCAAAAGAGGGGTTCAGAGCAAACAAAACCAGCACAGTATTTTGATTAATCTCCTTTTCTATTTGTCTGGTAAGAGAATAGTGTCAATAGTAATGAAAACAATTGTGACTAATGCAGTCAGCAAGACTATCAGAGAATCTTCTGCCATGTTATAATAGGAGCCCATCACTAGAAACACCTTAATTACAGCTATTATCTCTTGAAATGTCTGAGTAACACTTAATATTAATCTGATTTGAAATAGAAAGTTTCCATTATGTAGTGAGATGTTAAACAGGGCTTTGCTGCGTAATTACATGGGGTAAAGTAACTATGAAAGTTGATTTTGCATGAAGGCTACACTGACAGCAAATGAAAAGATCTCATTTTCTGGCACCTGTATTTTCAGTATTTCTGTGGAGAGCTGAGTCTTATTTTAAGTAACATTTTCACATGGGAAAAGAGGGAGTAAAGAATGCAGTTATGACCACTATGAGAGAAAATATGGGAACCATTTTTTAGTGCCAAGAGATATTTACAGGGAGCTCCAACTGGGTCCCAGAGGTAAAAACATTTCCCTGCCCTCTCTTTCATGGCTTGAAATCACTGATTTTCACAAACTTGTTCCATGGTAAAGCATCCTGCTTGCTGCCTGCCATATGGTTAGCCTTTACATTGGCTTCAGGCGCCTCAATTTATTCCTTCAAAGTTGTTCTAGTCCATAAAAATACACCCTGCAGGTGTGCTGGACACCTTGCATAGATGATGACAGAACCAGAGTGGATATCTCTGGCCAGAAAAAATGTTCAGCACAATAGCACACACAGTATGGACAAACATTCAGGCTGCATCTCTGACATCATGTGGTGTCTCTTTAGATGGGCTGTTTCAGGAAAAATTAATTTGAGTGGATTTTAGGGAGGCACCACAGCCCATGAGAGATAGTATCATTAGGCAACATGTCTGGAGAATGGGTGTCTGCTCCAGGGCCAGAGAGACCTGGTTTGGGGTTGCTGCTCTCCCCAGCTTCATGGTGGTAAATCTGAAATGTTTTCAACCTGCTCAGTTTTACCAGGGGAGGGCTTCTGTTGTGGATGATGAGAGCACATAACCACATATTTTAAAGGAGTCATTTTGGTTTGGAAGTGTGCTTTCAAAGGTTATATTAATTATAACAGCCATCATGTTCCAACTAAAGGAGAGCTGAAGGTTTCAGTGCCCACATGAAGTGTGAGGGACTTCATGGGCTGCACTTTACTCTGAGTCTGGTCACCCCTTTGAGGTCCTCCTGCACTGAATCCAGGATTCAAAACCCAGGGAAGGATCTCCAGAGGAAATACAGGGAATTTAAGCCCTTAATTAATTTTCAATCCAGCTGCAGCCTGCATCCCT